GAAATGAACAGAAAATTGAAAAGACACAGGGGGAGAAGTGCACAAACCAGTAAAACTCATTTGTTAACGGCACTTCGACTACATGTGTGTCCTAAACTTATGAACCTACTTGGATTCCTAAACTACTTTTGTTATTATTTATTTCTATTTTTAAGACACTTTCTATGTTAAGAAGAAAAAATAAATTTGAAATATATTCAGTTATAAATTTGTTTTTCTAATGATCAGTGTTAATAACAGCAAATAATCCAAGAGGCATTTCTATTTGCCTTTTGAATGCATTACAAACTTAATTTAATTATTTGGTTAGATATTTGATTTTGTTACTATTGCTTTGTTTAAGCCTGGTAGTGAGCAGCATTGTCTAGGATTGAATAAGCAATAATAATAGAACAGGGTATTTTGTTTCAAGATGTATTTAATGAAGTTTTCTTTTGATAGGGAAGATGAGCAAGCTTTGAATGGTACTTTGGAGACGTCCTAATAGATTGCATTCCGTCCCTTCTACAGCAGAGTAGTCCATCTTGCTAACTGTATCATCCAAATACAATAAAAACTAAATATTTTATAAAGCATTGTTAGTCATTAGAGAAATGCAAATTATTTAGTTTTATTAACCCATAATGATCTATCAGGTGGATTAAACTTACCTATAATCTGCAGATAACAATACCCAATCACCCTTGGTGATTTTTCTAAGACTACATAGCATTTTAATGTTTTAGTTGAAATTTAAATATAAGAAATCTGTATTTGAAGTCAGGTTATGCATTTATTTATATGGTTATTTAAAAAAACTTGTTCTTCATAATACTGAACTATACATTAGAGCTTAGTTTTTTAGTTAGCCACACTTGAAATTCATATTTTCTAATCAAAAGTATCTCTATCAGCAAAATATCTTTTCTGTTATTATTCAGAATTTAAATAAATGCTTTCCTATTCTTCTGACCAAGAGTTTTATACTTGGGTATTCAATCTGCATTTATGTACAGGATGGAGGTGGTAATGATTAAGAGGAATACTGGACAAATCAGTAAGAGATGGATTAAGTTAGCACAGTTCACACTCTTAGAATTTAAACCTGAGCCAGCGGATTGGTTCCATGTCTGTTGTTTATTGTTATTATTGTTTATCACTAACAACTTCCTGTATCACCTGTCAGAAGTAGAGAAACATAATTGGCCTAAGTGATTTTAGAATGGAGATTAGAACCATGGAAGAAGAAGACCAGGAGAAGCTTGGAGGGAAATGACTGATTATGGAGTCAACTCAGGGGATAATATAAACTACTGGACTAAAGATGAGTTGCTGCAGCTCTTAGTCAGGTCCCAGCTATAGAGGCATTTATTTTACCTGAGGACTAACCTTACAGGGAGAAATTCTGTTACTCTAGAATTCAAAGTCCTTTAAATTAGCAATAAAAATGCAAATATCATATAGAGACAATGTTGTAGTTTAAAGGAGAAATAATTCCAATCTACATTCAATTGATCTATTTTGTTTCTTTTTTTATTTTCAGTCGGAAAAAAGAGCAAACTTTTTATTCTTTTCTTTAAAATGAACCAATAAATTTTGATGTCATGAATTTTTAATATCTCATCCAAAAACTTAATTATGGACTAGATTGTGCAATATTGTGCTAGATTTCCTTCCTTCTTAGACTTTCAAGTAGGAAGGAAAGAAAAATACAATTTGTGATGACTCAAATAAATTGAAAATGACCTTTTCTGTGGAAACTACCTACTAAAAATGTTTGTAAATTTTCATAGTTAGTGTTTGAATTTTACCAGCAATAGAAGTTAATGCAAAGGTTCAGTACCCTGATTCCAAAATGGGTCATAGAAATTGCAAGAGGTTCAGCAAAAAATTAATGCTATCAAAAAGGCATTGTTAAACTATGTATTCTTATGTGACAATTTTGCTATACTTTAGGAGAATTCAGGAAAATAAATGATTTATGGTAAGTTTAGTGTATATAATCAATAAAGGTGAAATGATGTTTGTTTCTGCATATACCCTCTACAAAACCTTCTAACTAAGCCACTTAGAGATATTGTAATGCTTCAAAATGAATTAACTCTCCGGGAGGGCAGTACGTAATCACCTTCAGAACACAACATGAATTGTGCTAAGCAAGGTCTGGTTCCCATTACATTCACAAGGCTACAGAGAGGCTGCTTGTCTGGAAGTATGTAAAAGTTCAGGTTATTACTTCACTACACACATTGGTTCAAATGTCTGTTCTAAGGATTTTCACTGTACCCTTTCAGTATCTGACAAGCTCTTCATCCATTTCAAATGAAATCCACCCCATTATTTAAACATGCTAGGAATTTGGTAACTGCTTAAATATTAGTTAGTAATTAATCCAGTATAGGATGAAAGTCAAGTTCTAACAGTGATGATGGGCTTTTGGCTCTGTCAGAATTCTGTGTCTTGTTGCAGGTAATGAGGGAAACAGGAAAACAGTTTCAGAAGAAAAGCACTTGGAGGACTATAGGTCTTGTTTACCAGTGTTTGTAATGTATGCCACTAACCCTGAAAAATGTACCTGCAAGTAGCTAAACAAATGAAGTGCTATGCATTCTGTGTATGTGTGTGTGTGTGTGTGTGTGTGTGTGTGTGTGTGTGTGTGTGTATTCTTTGGGCTAGAAACTGTGAAAAGGTTTGCTTCTTGATTTTTCTTTTTAAAGAAAAGATCAACAAAGAATTTTTAGCGGATATCAATTTTGCTAGTTCTCGGAGAATGTAATTTATCTAATGGGAATGATGGAGAATTAGATGCCCTGTGACATCTCCTGATCTACAATACTGCCGTTCTGTGATGCAAATAGCTTTACATGAGGAATTCTTTCTGATCTGTCTGTGATGACTTTTGGATTGGTTTTGCTCTAGAATGTTTAAATTCACGACCCTGTGAGGCCTCGCAAATTCTGGGGTAGAATTGTTATTTTGTTAAGAATCACTGGCTGCACTAAAATCAGTTTATGACTATACAAATTCTACTTTTTCTCCTTCAAGTTAGTAACAATTGAAAAAATTTTCAACCTATAGCAAGCTAAGAGATACGAAGAAACATGAAATTATTAAAAATAAAAGGTTCTTAAAATTGTCATGTAAATTCATGTTTAAATTTGTTGAACTCTTTGAAGTTATTTGGCATCAAGTGAGAGAGTCAAAGACTTTGTAGTTCAGCAACGTCATGACAATATTAGGAATATCTTGGGTATGGTCTAGAAGTTACTGTTTAGCCACTTCTTTATTTTTAAAAAGGCTTTACAAAGGAGACCACAACTCCCCACTCCTTAAGTTGGGCCAGGCAGTGACTTCCTTGCAAAGAGTACATATGGGAAAGAGGAGAGAAAAGAAAGAAACTTTATGTTGAAGAAACCTAATAAAAAATACCTCAGCCAGGTAATTCAAGTCAACATCAACAGTGAGGAATCATGTTGATAATGTAAATCCGTGACAGGATGTGGTCAAAATGATGCTTTATTTCCATGGTCCTCCTCCCAAAAACTTTCAAGCCCAGGCTAATCATTAAAAAATCATCAGACAAATCCCAGTAAAGGGACCTTGTATAAAATATCTGACCAGTACTCTGGAAAACTGTCAAGGTCATCAAAAACAATGAGTAACTGAGAAACTGTCAGAGCCAAGAAGAAAGTAAGGAGACATAATGACTAAAACTAATGTAATACTTTGTATGAGATGCTGGAGCAGAAAAAAGACTTTGTTTTTCTTAGGTAAAAACTAAGAAAATCCTGAATAAAGTATGAATTTTTGATAATTAAGAAAAGGCCTTACACAATGTAACTAAGTATGAATGTGAACACAAATCTATTATCCTCGGTTAGATAAAGGTAGACTGGCTCAATCTTTCTCAGTGTTGCTAGAGTTCAGATTAAGTTGTCGGGTAATGACATCAAGTATTCTTATAAAGGTGAATAATGTTGGGGGAAATGGATTAAGAACAAGCTTAAAACTCTTTATAAATACTAGCATTCAGAAACAGATAAATATCAAAGCATGATAGATTATTGTAGTAGGTTATAAAAATTAAGCCTAAATCTTCAAAGAGCTAGTAACTTAGACTTGAAAAGGAAACTGCCTGGTATTTCAGAGCAGAATACTGTTTATTTTAGTAATCCTATGTGATTAACTATATGGGTTTTGTAAGAAATAGCAATCACGTTATACCACATTAAAACACACACACACACACACACACACACACACGCAAAAAACTTCCAAAATAAAAGTGTTATATAGGTACAAATGAAAGTACTTGTTACTGGTTTTTCGATGCCATTTTATCTACCAAAAAAGATAGAAAATTTATAGTAGAATAGAAACTTAATCATTTTTAGCAGAAGTACAGACTTTCTAAGATTTAGTTAATTTGTTTTTAAAGAAAAACGTTAAACATGAGGATTTCTTTTCCATGTGAAAGCTTAAGAAAAAAATAGTTTGGCTTAAACCTGATTTATTTTAATTGTACAATTTTTTAAAAACCCTCTGATTTAATTGATTTGCAGGAAAATCAACTGTGCACTGGATATATATTTTGTTTGGAACAAAGCAATTTCTAAATTTTAAAATGTACAAAGTTCTAAGAAAATTTTATAATATAGATAACCAAGAGCAATGTGCATTATTGCTTTGCATTTTTATGATTTTCTCATAAAATATGGATGAGTTTCTTGAAGAATCTCTGCATTTGATTTTCTTCACACTTTAGCTATTCTTATTTTCTTAGGCCCTTTCACAAATATGTAAGAGAAACCCATCGATCTATTCTTTTCATAATAATAGCCTTGAGGGACAGGGTGAGCTGTTTGCATCTATTAATCAAAGTAAACTAAGGGAGTTTGCTTTAACAAATGTACAATGGAAGGTACCTTCTTCAAACCAGGTGTCTTCCTTAAGCACTGAGAGGCATACACTCTATACATCGAATACACAGCAGCATCTTTCTGTCTTTCCGTTCTAGTGCACTGACAGGCAGAACTCACCAGTCACATCACCAGGATCCTCTCCGCTTGCCCAGAGAAGAAAGCCACAGCCTGACGCTCTCCAGATCCCACATCTAAGCCTGCCACCAGTACCTCCTCGCCTGGATCTAATTCAGAAAGGCATAGTTCGATCGCCCTGTGGCAGCCCAACTGGTTCACCAAAGGTAAATCAATTTTATTAGAAACACAGATAATGATTTTATGCGACAACTATTGGTTGCTCGGGTTCTTTGAAATTCCATTACTCATATTTTTTGTGCTCTTAATTGTTTATGAACAACTTTAATGGGTTTCTCATTGTGTTTATGGTGAGCCCATGATCATACGCCTTGCTTTATTATTAGAAAAGTTATATAGTTATTGCAGAGAGACAGCATATGTCTGTAGCTCCCTGATTTGCTAAAATACACAGAGTAAGAACAGTTATTCTGAAAAATGGATTTAAAATGTCATTATATGCATTAAAATAATTTGCATGCTGTTATCAAATGATATTTTACACTCATTTTTATAGTGCCATGACAAGAAAAATGTGATGGGAGTAAATTTGCATAAGGGCGTAAAGTGTGATAAATTATCACCCATGCTTCAGGGTGACTCAGAAGAGGGAATTATATGTACTTTTTATACCTGAAGGAATGAATTATAGTGGATTACAATATTTGCAAAGTAATTATATTACTATTTGATATTAAAGGCATAATTCTAACTCTTTAAATTTAAGCCTACACTCTGTGTGAATTTTTTTCCAAATTTGATAATTAGGACATATTTCCCTTTATTAAATATAATATTTAAAAATGAATTTTATTCAGTAATATGTTTTATGGCTTAAAATTTACTGGAAGCACAATATTTTTAGTAATGTTTGATTTTCCTACCTTATGGTTAACTTACTTTTAAGATCATATGAAGACTCATTAGAATGTTACTTAGAATTATATAAACCCAAAAGATTCCTTTTTTTGATATTTTCTAATATGAAAATCATTCATCAGATAAACTGTGTAAATAAAATCTAAAGCTATGACAGATACACATGTAATTCAGGAGTATATATATACCTTTATGTTTCTATGTAAGAATCAGACTAATTCTTTTTCATTTTAAGAATTCATAAAGAAAAATAATTCTATAAATAATGCTGCTCTGTTATTTGTGTTTTTTTCACTATTCTGGTAATAACTGATAAGACAGAGAACCAGAGCAAATTTATCCCATATCAGTTACTCTATATTGCAGTGATAGAAGCAAAAATAATTTTTAAAAAAGCTTTTGATCTTACAGAAATATTATAAATCAAGTTGCTCCCGAAAGAAACTAAAACAATTGCACCAACTTTGATGGATTTGTCCTATGTCTCCTAAATTATAAAAATGCACAAATAAATTAATTATGGACATATAATTTTAATATCAAAGTCATAATATAATTTTGATCTTGTACTTTTTTCTGTTTCTATAATGTAACATTGACATTTACATATTTATTTCTACTAAAAAATCTTAATGAAATGTATTTGTGTGAGTTTTTCATTAACTTTTTGAAAATTTCATTAACTAGTGATAAAAAGAAATTTATTAAAAGATGACGTAGGAATCTAATAAAGCTTCATTATGGCTTAGAACATAGAAGCACTAATATACTAGTCTGGAAGTCATTTCAGTGCGTGGTACTTTTAAGGTTTAAAACTTTTAAGGTTTTTTTTTTTTTTTCTTCTTGTGTTTCTTTAGTCTTCTCCTTGCATGGTGAGAAAACAAGATAAACCACTTCCAGCACCACCTCCTCCCTTAAGAGATCCTCCTCCCCCTCCGCCTGAAAGACCTCCCCCAATCCCACCTGACAATAGACTGAGTCGACACTTCCATCCTATGGAAAGTGTGCCTTCCAGAGACCAGCCAATGCCTCTTGAAGCCTGGTGCCCTCGGGATGTGTTTGGGACTAATCAGTTGGTGGGTTGTCGACTCCTAGGGGATGGCTCTCCAAAGCCTGGAATCACAGCAAGTTCAAATGTAAATGGAAGGCATAGTAGAATAGGTTCTGATCCAGTGCTTCTGCGGAAACACAGACGCCACGATTTGCCTCTAGAAGGAGCAAAGGTAAGAAGTATGAAAAGCAGAAGCTAAAGAATCTGCTCACAAACTCTTCTGATAGTAGGTAGCTTGCAAGATTGGACAGGTTTTTTGTTATTGTTGTTTTTGCCTCTTCCTTGCAGGTCTTTAGTTATCTCCAAGTTATAAATAATCAGAAGCTTATTAAAACTTGAAAGAAGTCAGGAAGAAGGTTCTAACTAATGATTTAATTTTAATATAAAGACACTAGACAATTTACCAGAGATTTATTTCACCTTCCTTATTTCATTTGCCAAAAATTTACCCTATTAATAACTTGGCGGTAGTATAATCAGTGCTGTATTTTTTAAAAACTCTCCTAGTTCCATCCAGTTAAAAATTATATAATTATACATGTCATAAATCAATTGTTGGAATTAGTTGTTGTTTCCTAGGACAGTACACTTTAGGCAGCCAGATAAAATGAACTTCTCACATACTTGAAAACACCAAACCTAGTTCACTCTTACAAAGAAAGCTCTTTTCAGATAAAACTGAGAGACCTCACACTTGGTTGATTTCTAACTTGAAGGATAGTACCACTATCATTTATATGTCCAGGAAAGAGTTTATGTGTACGGGGAACTGAAGAGACAGAAGCACCAATCATTGAGTTTAGAACTCTTCATAAAGTGCTTGGCAGAATGTATTGTAATATTTTCTGGTATTTGCTTCCATTGTGTTTTTGGCTCTAAGAGCAGGTCATCACCATCTTTCGTCTACTGAAGGAGGCTTTGGCTCCTTTGAAGACTGTCATATTAAAGTGATCCCATCTCTATAGATCTTAAAGTGTTACTTACGGAAGTAGTCTATTCCTTCAAAATAATGATTCAAAGTTGGTGAGTTCATCTTATAACATATTCAGGGAATGAGGAAGAAATGTGACTTATACTCAAGTCCTGTGTATGTGTGTGTGTGTGTGTGTGTATGTTCACACAGGTATGGTGACAATGAAAACTGTGTAGAGCAATATTTAACCTCAGTGATATTCTAGGGTAGACAGAATAGGAAGGGTCAAAACTCTTCTAGTGCAGTATTCAAAACAAAGGAAAGGATGGTGGTGGATTGCCATGACTCTTGCCAGTGACTCACCTTGGTACCTTCAGTCTCGTCTGTTATATTTAATAAATATGAAGATCTCTAAATATGATGTAAGCATAAGAGAAAGCATGTATATGCAATTTTATAGTGTTCTCTGAAATGGAGAGATTGTCTGCAAAAAATTTTTTTACAACTCTTTTTTTTAGTGATTTTTTTTTTCATGTGTGATCACACTTGTCTTGGGAAAAGTGTTAGAACAAGCTCCAATGTGAATTGTCTGGTAAATTTATTTTCTAAATAAACTTCAAAAATTCTTAAAATATAATAATTAGCATTGCCAGTTCATTAAAGACCTCTTGTTTCAGACTACTTTTAGATAACATGTTATATAATTGTAGCACTAAAATAAACTTACCCTAATCCCTAAAAACACTGGCTGTTAATTTTTATGGGATATTATAGTTTCAAACATTGGGGTAACAATTTCTTAGGTTGTAGGTATGAGATTTTTTATTATATTAAGTACAGATATGAAATGTTGGCCGGGTGTGGTGGCTCAAGCCTGTAATCCTAGCACTCTGGGAGGCCGAGGTGGGCAGATTGTTTGAGCTCAGCAGTTCGAAACCAGCCTTAGCAAGAGTGAGACCCCGTGTCTACTAAAAATAGAAAGAATAGCCAGCATGGTGGCTCACGCCTGTAGTCCCAGCTACTTGGGAGGCTGAGGCAGTAGGATTGCTTGAGCCCAGGAGTTTGAGGTTGCTGTGAGCTAGGCTGACGCCACGGCACTCTAGCCCAGGCAGCAGAGCAAGACTCTGTCTCAAAAAAAAAAAAAAAAGTAGGTATGAAATGTTAATAATGAGTTCAATTATGAAAATTCCTTTAAATGTCTCTGTGTGAACTTTCATGTTTGATACAGATCAGTATACGAGAGAACATTGAGTTAATTACAACGTTTATCTCTTACTGAAAGTTGGATTTTAATCTTGTTTAGTTTTAACTAAATCATACTCACTAAGATGTTTAATGTCTAATCTCATATATTGTGTATATTAATATTGCAGTGTTTACATTCACAAAGATAATTTCATGTTACAGCTAGAATTGGTATTTCAACCAAACTTAGACTTCTAAGATTTCTAATTTCAGCCTAGTTGTTTGACTTCTGGGTTGTATTATGCAGAAGTATTTTTATAGAGTTAATGCATTAAGTGCTCTAAAACACAGAACTTAAAGTAGAAAAGGCCCAATTCCTCTTCTCATGTGATTGTTGGGAGACTTAAGAGGCTGGCTTTAACTAACAACTGACTTAAGACTGAGTCTTAGGATCCTGCAGTTCTCAGTTTCTGTGATCCTCAGTTGGCATTTGTTACTAGGTTTTGGAATCAGACCTGGATTTCACTCCCTGCTCTAGAATGTACTGGCTTTGTGGATACGAACAACTTACTTCATCTTCACCCCTAACCCCACTTACTTTCCTTACTTTATAAAATAGAATAATAATAATACCTGATATCTAGGAGAATAGTTAGCCTCCAACTATCTAAGTTCCCATACCCCTTGTTTTGAGAATAAAACCAAAAGTAAAAGCTGGACATGGAGTATCAGAATAAGTTGGAAGAGTTGACATTTTCATTTAAAATAGTTGTCTTATTTTTTAAACCCAAACTATCTTCTTTTTTCCCCTCTCCTCTCTCCTTTTATTTAGCATAGTTCCTAGTGCATACTCAGTAGGCACTCAATAACTTGGTAGCTATTACTGCAATACTTAAGCTGATGTTAGAGGCCAAAAAATGTTTGTGCTGGGGTTGGAGTGGGCAGTAGTAGGCAGGGGAAGAGGAGCTGGAGGAAGAGAGTCTGGCCATGATACACAAGGAGAACAAATGGACAGGTTTTTATGTATCTCCCCAGAACTGGCCTTCACCTAAGGGGTAGCACATAATTTTCTTCTCTAAAATAGAGATTTTTTTCCTCTTGAGAAGAGTATTCATTTTAAACAGACAGATCACATACAGTAAGAAAAAAGAAGGGATGAAGAAAGAGGAAAGGAAGATGATTTTAATTTCTTAAAAAGACTAATATTTTTAATGAAAATGGTAAATGTTAACAATGTAGTCTCATCTTTCATACCTAGTGTGTAGTTTTATTTTGTACTGTCTTATCATGGGTACAAAGGGTGTGGAGATTTAGATATTTGTAGTTTTTATTTATTATCTTCACAAAACCCATCCGTCCCTCTAAATACACTCTTTTGTCAACTAGTAATTGCCATTTAGGTTTAGTTGTTTTCTTTAGAGGTGATGCTTCAAATTAAATATCATCTTCCCGTTTTAGAGATAAGGAAACTTAGATAAGTACTATAAATAAAAATGTACATGTGGAATGCCAAAAGGGGAATTTATAAATCTAAACGCCCTGGGAATGGGTGAGGACTCACTCCCAGTCATCGTTTGTCTCCTGTTCTTGTGCCAGTTCCCATCATTCACAAAAACTGTCTGCCTTTTTTCTTCATATCATCACTAGATAAATGGTAAGGGAAACAAGAATAAATTAATCTCTAATTACTTCATTTGCTAATTGTACAGAGCTCTGAGGGAAAAAATTTTCTAAATCATAGTTAAAATGAAGTGTAAGAATTTTCTGTCCATTTATTTCCTTTTCTCTTTCCCCTCCCACCTAGCATAATCAAATGTTAGCTAAGGTAAGACTTTACTTTTAATATCAATGTACAAGCCGAGAGTTATTAGGTATATTTATCTTATTTTATTGGTAAAAGATTTCTCTCCTATAGCACTGTTTCTTTTCTCTGAAATTCTCAGATTCTAGCCACATTATAAAGCTGTTTCTTAATAAATATCTTGTTGGCTAAATATTTATTGTTTTGGTTATCTGAGATAAAAATATTTGCACCAAAATATTTTAATATATGATTAGAAACTTGAAATTTATCTACTTATTTCCAGATATTCACTTTGTGCCCAGCTGTCAATATTTGTTCCCCTTGAGAGATTAAGAATACCACCATTTGTTATGTGATAAAAACTATCTTTAGTCGTGTTACTTACAATGATACTGTTCTAAAGTGACCCTGTGTATAATAATATTTCAAAGATATTGCTAAATAAACACATCAAATGATCCCCCTTCTTGAGACTGTGGCTTTTTGCCCTTTTAGTGAAGAGGCACAGGCTCATGTGAATGACCTTAAACTTTCTGTACATTTCAGGGGCTTTCTTTCAAAAAACCAGTATACACTGGTTTCATTTGCAATCTATTGTTGAAAGACAAAATATTTTCGAGGTAGTGGATGGGGGGGTTGTATGTGTAGGATGAGAAAAGGTTTGTGTTTAGGGTTTTGTAAAAATTTGTAAAAAGGTTTTTTAAAATTGTGCTAAGATTTTCACATTATTTTGTTTTCTCTGTTATTTCAAGGGTCCCTTCAGTTTTTAGACAATATCTGAATTGTAAGAAAACATTTCAAACTTCAAGATTAGAATTAGATGATACCTTGTACAACCCAGATTATACTTCTACTAATTTAAACTTCCACTAATATATTCTTATTCCTTCAACCTAATTCAGCTATATGAGTACGTAGGATGTTCAAGACACTGTGGGGAACACAAAGATGAGTAAAGCACAGGCTAGTGAAGATGAGACAGGTATGTGATTAACTAAGAGATAAGGCACATGAGAAGCATCCAGAAAATATGTGGGATCCTCAAGAAGAAAAAAAAATTCTGAGATGCAGTATACAAAAAGGACTAAAGAAAGCTTCATGAGAGAGGTTGACTGGCTATAGACATTAGAAGATTGGCAGCTATTATTTTTGTAGGCATGACAGAAAGGAACAGCATGGAGGTGGGAAAATATATATAGTGATATGTGTAGCCAATTTTGTATGGTGTATAGGGCATATAGGCAGGTGATATAAGATTGGCAATGTAGATTGAAGTCAATTATGGAGTTTCCTGAATTCTACACTGTTATAATTTAGTAGGCAGGATAGAGCTTTTAAAGTTTTTTTGTTTTTGTTTGTGTTTTGGCAGAAGAATGATAGGATCAGAATTGTGAGTTGAAAAAATGTAAATTGGTAGCATTTTGAATGGGATTGTGTTAGATTTGGGACAGTGAGTTAGGAAGGCAGAGGACAAAAATATATTCCTTAGTTGAGAAGTTGGTGATGTTTCAGTGTGAACTGTTTCAGTTGATACTGTCAGTCTATATAGTTGAAGAACTTTAGTTTTCTACCATTTGCAAACAGGTTTTTCAAATTTCTAGTGAACATAAAATATTTATTTTTAGCTCAAAAAGTTGTGATTTATTGCACTCAGGCAGTGGAAGCTAAAATGATTTCTGGTCTAATGAAATGGTGCACGTGGGAACATGGAATTCAGAATGACATAATGTTAAATTTTGTCCTCCAATCACTATCAAGAAATATAAACAATCACTTTAGAGGAAAAGAAATATGGACATCACTCTAGTGTCTGCATATTGAGGTCCTTTGCTTTTGCACACTTGTGTAACCTCTGTTAATTAAGAAAGAACTATGTAGAATTCCATGTTTGGTACTAGGCTTATTATTATATTAACTCTCAGTGCATATGTTAGAACAGCCTGTGGGAAGATCAGCCATTAAGCATATTACGTGTGTTTGTTAAGAGTATTTCAGTAATCTAATGAATTTCTTCCATCTGTACCTAAAGAAAGTCATTTCATTGGTTAAAGCCTCTATTAATAAGGTCATCTAAGCCAATCAGCAGTTAATATTCATTTAAGTCCTACTGTATGTAAAGCCCCATAAGGAATGTGCTATAAAATGATAAAGAAATAAAAGAGTTTTTGTCCTGAAAGAGGTTCAGTATTCCTCCATGGAACATAACTACACAGAACATGAGCAAAATATCGTTAGATGCCAAGCACCAAATGAATGGATCAGAAAAGACACTAAAGCATTTCAGTGGCAGGAGAAATCATTTAGTTACTATGTATCAATAACAGTGTTTCTAAAGCAGTTAGAGAAAGTGCTATTTGCATTTTAAAGCATATTAATGGATTTTTTCATAAAATTAGGGAACAAATCACTTAATTTTCTGAGGTATTACCTTCCTAAAGAATAAGTTGCCTTATTAACTGTACTTTATGTTTTTACTAGTGATAGACATTATTGCCTGCATGGCTCATCTTCATGAAATTTAATGGTGGTACATAAAAATGTTGTGTTAAGTTCTGTTAATATATTCATTCTCTCATTTGCCTAATGTGCAAGATGAAATCATTTTCCATATCAATAAATGAGTGTGTTGATATTCTTTTTCAGATATGTTCACAATGTTCTGATTATAAAATTATGGTCGGTTTATTGTTTATTAGAGCCAATACAGCTGAAACTATTATTCCCATATCTTTCTTTTATTTTATCATTGGTGAAGTTTTATTAAGTATCTATGTTGGATGCTTTGCCCTAAAAGAATAAAATTTTGCATATAAAATCCACATTACATTTTCCAGAATGAATTTTAATGTATTTGTGACAGAAACATTAATGAGATTTGATTGCAGAAATTTTATATTCCTATTCCAACAGCATGCAAAGAACTCCAAATAATAATGACTTCAAATGCTCAGCATCACAATGAGCATTTGTGGTTTGATACTTGTGTTTGTCAGTCAAAAGGTATTTTTTTATGTGAAAGGATTCATTGACCTTTACAATGATTAATATCTATTAGGAAATTTCTTCTCTCTAGCAAAGTTCAAAAAACTTTGCCTTGTTCTGTTATTTGGCTCATAGTCAAAAGCCTATGATAAAATCATTTCCTTTAAAGGTATATTTCATCGCGGTATACCTGCAATATATTGAATCTAATGGATACACGAAAAAGAAAAATTGGAGCTAAAGCTTGGGACATAATTTTTAGAGTGAAACTTTAATGCTATAAAATGTGATTTTGTAGTTTTGAAATACAAACTTGACATACTTCAAATGTTTTCTTGAAACTTGTTTCTTTTCTTATTTTAGGTTGATAAGTAATGGTTTGGCCTTTCAGTTTTGAGTTCTAAATCTTCAACACCATTTAGAAACATGAGGGGAAAGTAATTGGTATTACCTTGACTGAATTATCTATCAGTGTTCAAGTTACATTACATCCTTTTGACTCCACCGTCTTTCTGCCTTTTAAAAATGAATTAGTAAGAGTTTGCAAAAGAGCTCCATGATAAAAATCTGGCGATTACTTACAGGTCTTAAAATACGTTTAACTTTTTCCTGTAGACATGTCTTTGGAAAGTTATCCTCTCATTTTTCCTGTTCTAAGTTGCTCTAATTTCAAGCAGTTGGAAAAGCAAAGAGGAGTTTTTCTGACAGTTGCTGTAGTTTGACTGAGAAACCTGGAAATCAGAATTTTTGAATTCTCAGTAATTGAACGCTGGCTCTCTATGATACCTTAGGAGCAAGTTAACAGTTGTGGTTTGTGGTGCGCACAAACTGAAAATTAGGTTTAAATTTGCCTGTACTTTGAAAACCAGAACAGTTCCCTAGTTATCATTCGTGCTGAAGCTTCAACTCTGAAAGAACAGAGGCATTTCTGATTATACTTGTGTACTCTTTTATCAGGAAGTTTAAGAATGTTCTGTCAACCCTGGAGAGAGATAATTTAGAAGTCTTTCATTTGGAAGGAATTGAAATAAGAATCGCAGCAGTGCTGCTTTTTTCCTTATAGAAAATGCTAAGTTTTCATAAAAAATTATCACAGTTGATGAATTTCACTATCTTTTTATCTAGCTATCTATATCCAATTTATATAAATTATAGTATTACCTCCCAATTATGTTTAAGAATCCATGTTGTATCATTTTTTTCCCCATAACCTGGTACTACTTCGAGCGATGGTGAGTCATTGTCACTATGGTGCTACTGATTCCTATGTAAATTATATGACATTGCACTTGTTTAAATATACTGAACCTATATATTCTCTTCAAAATTGTAGGTTTTCTAAGCACTACTATTGTTTTAAGGCCCTCCAAAAGCTAAATTCTTGGAAACTAAACATTTGATTTACTTTCAGGTCTTTTCCAATGGTCACCTTGGAAGTGAAGAATATGATGTTCCTCCCCGGCTATCTCCTCCTCCTCCGGTTACCACCCTTCTCCCTAGCATAAAGTGAGTTTTATTCAATTTGGAGATCACTTGTCCATGCAGAAGGATATGGTAAAAACTGGTTTTGAGGTTCTCAGTACAGAAACCTACAGGATGAATAGAAAGGCATCAATAAAAAACAATCCAATTGGATTTATAAAGTGCCAGAAATAAGAATCCTTTCTAATTCTTTGCTAGTAACCATGGCTTCTATGAGACTTATCTAAACTGTTAAGATTACACCTAGAACTCAGGGAGAGAAAGCTAAGTATTCCTTTGAAGAAGGGAGTAGAGTAGCACAATGAGCTCTCCCATCCAATTAACCTTTCTTCCTCAGAAGTATTGCATTTTATCCCAACTATCCAGGTTGACATCATAAAGTAATCTTGGTTCCTCTAGTCTTTCCCATTTCTCAGATCCATTCAGGCAATAAGTCCTGTCGATACTTCTTTTGGAGTTTTCACATTCAGCTAACCTTCCCCATTGCCCTAACTTTGCCTCAGAGCTGGACAACTGAAATAGTCTTTTACCTGCTCATCTGATGTGATCTCAGAATTAGTATCAATGGATTTAAAGTTAGAAAAATGTGATAACCTAGGTGTTTAGTTTGACAAATGAGGATACAGAGGCACACTGGACAGTTAAGTGATCTCTGCCCAAGTTAAACCAGGATGAAACCACATATCCCAATTTGCATTTTCCTGCTCTTTATATGATGTCAGGCTGCCTGCCTTTCCTCCAGTATGTTTTGTTCCCTGCAGCTGAGTTCATTGAATTTAAATTCTGCCTTCCCTGGGTCACTTACCCACTCAAAAACAAGCATCATTTCCTTTTTTCAACTAAATGAACTCTGTACTCTTCTGCTAGCTAAGATCCTACAGAATTTTAGCCATCTAAAATATTTTTCAGTGATTCCTAATGGTTGCCCTGTAATCCTATGTGGATTTTTTTTCTGGCTTTGTGAGATTGTTATACTCTTCCGTCCTGTGCTCCACCTTTTCAGACCATTTATCCTAAAGGTCCATGTCTTAGGCTCTGTTTCTTTGAGAAATCTCTGACTTCTTCAGTTGTAATGATTAAGACTGATTTGCATTCCTCTTCCTGCAGTTTATTTTCTACACAGTTAATTATATACTCAGCCATACTGTTTTCTAATTTTAACATGGTTCTCCCAATTAAAAACATTGTAAGGTTTTGAGGGCAAATCCTTATCTGTATTCTCTGATTCTCCCATAACACCTTACTGTATTTGATGTATAGTAAGCACATGGAAAATACTTGGTTGCTTGTTTGGTTTTAATTTTATTTGCTGGGGTCCTTATTTCCAGTTAAAAGTCTTAGAGCTTCTTCATTCCTTTCTCTACAGATCATTGAACTCCCACTATGTATATGAATGAAAAAGAAGGATAAGCTAAATCCCAGCCCCTAAGAAATGTACAGTCTACTTTAGAAAATAAAATTAACATATATCAAATCACTAGAGAACACTGTACACTAAATTTATAATAATAAATTGTTAGTTTTAAATGAGTTTGGAGGAGAGGCTTGCCATAGACAAGAATATTTCATAGAGGAGATAGAAATTTCCTGAGTCATGGAGGATGGACATGATTGGAAAAGGCAGTGCATGAGAAAAAGCAAGGGTGTGAAACTTGACATTGTTCAGGGGACAGTGGGAAATCCAACTAACTGGACCATTCTCCAGTGGGAACTTTTCTTGGAACTGCCAGATATTTAGCAGACATAGGAGTTGGAAGCAATTACACATATTCTGTGTAGTAGGCTCGACATCAGTGACAGCATATGATGATATTCTAGCCCTGCATGAACTCTGGATATATGCGCATGTAATAAAGTGTTGAAGCTCAGTTACCTCTGATAATTCAGAGAACATTAGAAAATGAAGTAAATGAAATCTTGCTAATTAGAGATTAAATTTTTACGTTCTGTTTATTAAATTCATATTGGCAAGCAGGCTGAGATAGAGGTTGTGGCACGCTTCATTTGTATTTAACATTAAGTACCTGCTT